AAAAAAAAATGTACGTTTTACATTTTCAAAATGCCTTAATTTCCAACTAACCCTTAGAACAAGATCCTGTGCACTTAGCCGTATCCTTTACAACTCTGAAAAACTGTATTCTCGCTACTGTCAAAAGATAAGCAGCTATGCAAGACTTTTCAGACAAATACTTCACAACAAGAAAACCATGAACAGATAGTTACGTTCTTCCTCTTTTTGTCTTTCTCCAGGACTTTTTTGGGAAGTGCAAAGCTTGTGATGACAACCTGTTCTTTTAATATCGAGCCTCAAAGTCTGTCCAAGCCGTTACAGGAAACTCTTCATCAATCAGACAATCACAGGGTCAAACCAATGATACCTAAACCAGTAGATGCAAAATCACCATCACAGATCGAGAGAAACAAGCATATCCAAACATCAGGCTGTCATTTTACTATTGACACATCAAGCACTGCTGTCAGACGCATCCCAAAAGTAAAGGGATGTTTGTGAGGGTGCGGCTGGGCTGATGGCATGAATCCAATCGCTTCCAGCAGCATTGTGTCTGATCCAGACGTTAATGCAGAGCTCATGACGGCTGCCACTGTGATATCTCCATCTAAGTGACACCTGAAATAAATTACACTCGTCCCATATATTCTCAGCCTCCCGTTTTGCTGAAGGCCAAGGAGAAGCGTCAGTACACCTCCATTAGCAGCACGTCATCTGTTCATCAATCTCCCCTCTGGCCCACAGTTACTCTCCTGCAAGCTGTCTGCAATTATCCAAACCGTTACAAACTACAACAAAATCCAGAGGGCTCGAGTTACACTACTAACAAACCAGACTTATTTCAATGGTCAAAAAAGAAATATATATATATATATATATAGTCAAATGCACAATTCTCGCAATTAACAGCAATTATAAAGTTCACATTTCTGAATTTATACTCTGTTTTAGTTGATAAGTCAGAGCTATAGGTGTATATTTAGTCTAGTTAGGCTTAACAGTGTAACTATTCATGGAACTTAATAGTATTATAAATTAGTGCTGTCAAACGATTAATCACATCCAAAATAAAAGTTTCTGTTTACATAATATATATATATGTGTGTGTACTGTGTATATTTATTATGTATATATAAATACACAAACACATACAGCATATATTTTTATTAATATTATATATAAATATATTTAATATATAAATGTAACATTTTTCTTAATGCATGTGTGTGCATTTATATATACATAATAAATATACACAGTACCCACACATATATTATGTAAACAAAAACTTTTATTTTGGATGCGATTAATCGCGATTAATCGTTTGACAGCACTGTATAGAATTATTTATCAAAATGTTTTTTTTTTTAAATACTCTTAATCTTCACATTGTTAGACCAGTTTGTCTTTACAAATCATGTACTCTCTTTTTAAAAGGACTTAACGAAACGTCTTAAGACTGGTTGACTGAAAGTTCATTAATTATTTAAATCATAAATCAGATGTCAGCAATATTAATTCTGTCTGAACATAAATCACAACATTCCTGTAATGTGTCACTATGCCCCATTGATTAGAATGAACATAGATGATTATATTTATTTTCATGACATCGGAGGCTCAGATGTTATGATAAAAATAAACATAAGCGTCTATATTCAGCTTCTGAGCGGAAATACGTGGACAAATGCAGCACAGAGATGCTCGATATAATGCAGTGTTAGGAAAAAACAAGCCATCTGATCTGATGCAACAGATTTCATAATCCCTGCAGATGGCACATCAGATTCTCCAGGCAGAGTTATCACAATCAGAAAACACATCTACACATCATTTCAAAACATACACGGAATACTAATGGTTTTAAGTAGATGCATTGATCTGCATCCCGATGCACGAGAGCCAATGTCCATATGAGCCTCCCTCACAAACTCGTCCACTCACCTACACACACACACACACACACACACACACACACACACACACACACACACACACACACACACACACACACACACTGTTCTCCCTTGTCTGAATCGTGTGTTCATCTATTCAAAACTAGAATGTTTCTGGACCCAGTGCAGACAGCTCAGCTGCTGCAGCAGAGTCAAGTGTCATGGAGGTAGGAAGACGGCAATGAGAGAGACACACCCAACAAATGCTGCCACAGTTTCTTAATACTGTCTGTGGCTCTAATTAATTAACCCTTATGATAGGAGGAACCTGTGCATGGTTGTCACACACAGATCACACACACACACACACACACACATGCCTTCTCAAAGAGCGGAGAACCTCGCTCTCTTACCTTTAGTTCACTTAAAATCCGCTTCTTCTTCTTCTGAGCGCTACTGGTGCATGTGGCTGCTGTCACTTCGAGCGTTTGAGATAAAAAGAGGAGAGAGCGAGGAGGGAGGGGTATTCGGGGAAGTCCGCGACATTTATTTCATAATAAAAGTCCCTGAGAGCTTTCTTTATTTATGGATGTCAATTAGAAACATTAATATGCATATTGAATTTTTAATAACTAGCTAGTATTACACAGACACAACAACAACACCAATAATCAGTGTTGGGGGAAGTTACTTTTAAAAGTAATCCATTACAATATTGCGTTACTCTCGCGTTACTTGTAATGCGTTACCCCCAACACTGCCAATAATAAACAAACAAATGAATGAATGATACAGAAAGAGAAAGGAGAAACTGGGAAAAATAGAAGATTGATCAAATTCTTTCCTAGATGTTAGGTAATAACATCCTTTCTGTTTCTGCATTATTAAAAGATTTGGCAAGTCAACTTACAATTTACAATTTACTGTGCATTTCTGCCATGATGATATAACCTGGTCATAATCTGATAAACTAATCCTAAATATAATGTAAAAACTTAAATTTTCTGTGAAGCTGCTTTGCAAGAATTTGAATCGTGAAAAGTGCTATACAAATAAACGTGAAGTGAATTGAATTAATAAAGTAAGATTTAATCTTGAGTGTGGAGAGAAGATGAAAACCTTCATTACTTACGTACTATAGGGCCCTTATTCGAAAATAAAGAACAATTTGTACAGTTATTCTCAGTGTTACTTTTAAAAGTAATGCATTACAATATTGCGTTACTCCATAAAAAAAGTAACTAATTACGTTACTTAGTTACTTTTTATGGAAAGTAATGCGTTACGTTACTTTTGCGTTACTTTTTAAATCTGGACAGGGCTTGCTTGTTTGTTTTTAAAATAAAAAAGTTATATTTTTGGCAAATATAAAAGCCTTTTCACACCAAACGTGAAATGAATGCGCCTCAGGCTGAAGGGAAAGTAAAGTTACGTCCGTACAGTAGAACGCAGAAGAAGAAATATCAACACACTTCAGCAATAAACAAAGACACACAAATGTTTGTCTAGAGTAATTTGTGCTTATTAGTACGGTTGAACTGGATCATCGAAGCTCAGAAGCAAAGACATCGGTTAATAGAATGGGATTAAATACATAAAGCATATTTGTGTCGTTTAACATTTAATTATTGCAGGTTTGCGTCATATTCCGAGTTGCATTATTTTTATTCATTTTGAGGAATACTGAATCTGTGTGTGTTTTTTTTGTGTGAGTGAGATGAATTAATGCATATTCATATTTATTTTAGAACTACAGTAACATCTGATTTCTCTCAACATGGGGACAGGAGAGCTGTCAATCAATACATTGAAGAAGAAAAAAAATAACTTGTGTTACTTATTTGAAAAAGTAACTCAGATATTCTCTTGTAAATTAAAAAGTAATGCGTTACTTTACTAGTTACTTGAAAAAAGTAATCTGATTACGTAACTTGCGTTACTTGTAATATATTACACCCAACACTGGTTATTCTAGGGATTCTAAACGTGCAATTTAATTTAAGCTTGCCACTGTTTTTAGATCACTTCCTATCATTTCAGGAAAAAATCTTAAATAATTGTTTAAATGATAGAGAGGCGAAATTATTGTATAGATTAGGTGCTTTTATTATGCATAGCCTTCTAGTTTAGGTTTAGTCCTATGGTTTAGTCGCGTGATCAAAAGACTTTTATTGTGGACATTCCTCTGGAACGTCATTTACGGCGTGTTTGAGAGACTTTTATTATGTAAATATCAGCCGGGACTGTGAAGAAAAGCTTTGGCAAGTCAACTTACAAATGTTATTGGTAAATGTGAGAGGCGCTGCGTGATTTTTCTTCCTACAGTAAAACTGTGATGTGACCGAAGTAACTGTAACTGCCCAGAACTGACGCTCGCCGTCAAAATTAAGTGCGCCAAATCAATTTACAGGAGAACCTCCATCCACATGCATAACAAACAATGGTGAGTTTTTGTCATATCTGGCTTTGAGCTTCTCATCAGTCTCAGAAATGTTTGGTGTGCATGATATTAGAAAATAATAGGTTTGTAGCTCGTGCGAATAATAGTAATCGTGCATTAGTAATGTTAAATCATGTCAAAATTCTCTACTGTAGTCACCAAATGCGTTAATGCAACATTAAACATAATTAATATGAAACCGGGTGGATTTAATATTGAAGCTTATTTTAGACGCTTCTAGTGCACCATTGCTCTTCGGTGAAGTTTTTTTTCTTAACCCTGTTAACCTACATGCATGCAATCTCTGTCAAGGACTAGGAAGGACACCTGCTGTCAGTTGCTCTGATAATTACATGATTAATATTTAAAACATCATCTAATTTGGGCATGCATGTGTATGCATATCTATATTGTGAACCAATATGCATTACTTATTTTATTTACAATTGCAGTTTAAGCAGAGACCTAATCTTGAGCTATATGCATTCAATAATCTTTAATATATTTCTTATGAATATAAAGTGTAATCGGGCAAGCATGAATTAATTTTGATGCCGCTAATATTAATTATATAACAACACAAAATGGACAGTGTTTCCCAATGTCACCTGCGGTGATATCAGAGCTGATGCACCCAGACAGATATGCCATCCTATCAAGTGATATAACTGAAGATGATGATGATGATGATGATGTCTAGAGTAGAGAGGAGATCAGACTCATGCAGTCGGTCAAGCGGTGCCAGACACTGACTCCGGCTGCTCTGTTCATAGACACAGCGTCTGCTACAGGACCGGAATATGGATGCTGATTTTCAGACAAGATGCATTTGAAATCAGGCTATTCTTAGAAAATAGAAATGTGTGCAATTGAAATGTGAGCTTTGGATCTGGATCATAATGCCATTTAAGCCCTGAAAATTTGATATGTGCTTGAAAGCGTCTCCGCTGATGGTTTGCTTCATAGGACTCTAATGGAGCAGCGTGAGATGAGATGAAGTCTGTCTTTTACGCAGTGAAATCCGAGCAGAGCCAGGTAAGCGAAAAACATTTAGCTTTTCAGGCATATTTTCTTGCAATGAGAAATGCAGCGTGGCACACTGGAAACAGCCAGAAAACCACTGCTGGAATGTTTTTGCAGATGGACTGATTGTTATGCACTGTCTTCAGAATCAGATAAATGAACTCCAGTGAAGCATCAGCTCAGCCTCATGTCGTTTCTGGTGAGAGTCAAATCTTTTCATCCCCAGCTTGTTTGTGCAAAGCTCAATGCATTCTGTATTTCATGCTTTCTGTGTTTATTTCTGCAGTTCTTCATTCTGGGTGTCAGAAATGTGTTTGCATGAAGGTTTTGATTCTGGGTTTAGTGTTCAGTATAGTAGTAGAGCTTTAGGGATGTGTTTATGGGCTGAAGATGTTCGCTGAACAATATCCATGGCCTGATTATTCTCTAATCCCTAGATATCAGCACATTTAATAATAAACGTCCTCATTAATATCCACCAATCCTCCACCTCACCTCTTAATCCAGGAGGCTCATGTCAATGTCTCACTCTTAAAGACATGTTCTGGATTCAATAAAGGTTCCTTAAGCATGAAACAAATGAAAGCTGTGTTTGCAGTGTCCTGTGTCACTCGTTAATACATAAATAAATGTTGTCAAAATGATTAACTGCCATTAAGAAGCATGTTAATTTTGCATTGTTTATAAGTAATTTCATAAAAGAACATTTAGATATCAAATCTGGGTAAAATTCTTGGAAATTAGTGTTTTTCCACAATTATTTGTTATAATCAAATATACATCAGTTAAATACTAATTTCTGTAAGTGACCATTCAACCACTATTAATACCATCATGTGTCTGTTAAATGAATATTTCACCCAAAAATGCACATTTGCCAAGAATTTACTCGCCCTTAGAGCATCCAAGATGTAGATGAGATGTTTCTTCATGGGAACAGATTTGGAGAAATGTAGCATTGCATCACTTGCTCAGCAATGGATGCTCTGCAGTGAATGGGTGCCGTCAGAACGAGAGTCCAAACTGCTGATAAAAACAGCACAATAATCCACACCACTCCAGTCCATCGGTTAAAGGGATAGTAGGGTTATTGTGATGTTTTTATCAGCTGTTTGGACTCTCATTCTGACGGCACCCATTCACTGCAGAGGACCCACTGGTGAGCAAGTGATGCGATGCTACATTTCTCCAAATCTGATGAAGAAACAAACTCATCTATATCTTGATTAGCCTGAGTGTGAGTAAATTCTCAGCAAAGTTTAGTTTTTGGGTGAACTATTCCTTTAACGTCATAAAGAAATGTTCCGGGTTCAGTTTGTAAAAACAAACAAAAATTGTTTCATGTTTTGCGTCGAAAACGGACAATTCCTTTAACCATGAGTTAATCACACATGGCAAGGCTGACTCTGCACCGCAGCATTTCCATAATCATCTCCTCCTTTTGCCGTGTCTTTGCCCTTCAGCCCACCCTTGCTCAATTCATGCATATTCATACTGTGGATATTGTCGTATTCATCTCCATATTCATTTGTGGGGTGGGGGGCGTGTCTCATGTCTCCTCCCCTCTTCCCCTCAGGACTGCACCTGTATCTCCTCCCACTCACAAGTCCAGCCCATCAGCATAGAGGAGCAGTATGAAGACATCAGCCGGCAGTGCTCGGTCAGTAGAATCTAACAATAGAGCCCAGTGTGAGCTTCAGTGTGTTTGAAGGTAACAGGCATTGACTTTTGTCTTCTTCAGACGAGCCATTCAAGAGAGATTCACACTGACACCGATTCAATTACTGCACTACTGTGGGCCGTTAGCGGGATTGAGGAAAAATTCAGAATTTAGGAGCTAGTTCATGTTGGAGAGAGAATTTGAATTTGTCACAAAACACAGTGCG